TCCAATGGAGTTGGATTCATTGAAAATGATTCAGTTTGTTCACTAAAATCTTACTAAAAGAGGCCTCTCGGTCGCATTCTATCGTTATCAGCGTTTAATCAAGCAAATACCTCCGCTTCATTGTCTAGTATAAAAGTGCTGTCGACCGGTCGCTTTTCAAACGTTCATTTCAACGATTGATTGCTATTGCATCGCTTCACTCAGCTCTTAACAGCAGTGTGAGTTGAATACCGTTTGATCAGATTGTGAACGCGATTGCTTTTTTTTAAAGCGGTTTGCCAGCTTTTCGTTATCGCTTGTCAATGCTATCGTTTGATAGAATGGTTTCTATTATGACTGCAAAATTGGGTGAAGCTGCATGCTTGTCCATGTGTGTGGATATTCTTCAAAAGTAGTATCTGCTTTGCATTTGCCTCTCTCTTAACCAGAGTAATACTCTTTTGATTAGTGTTTGGTGTCACTTATCAGCAGCCATTTGGTTATAGGTTTGTTGTTATCATTAGAAGTAGGGTGCTTATTTATATGCCTATGACGTTATCAACTGGGATATATATTTTGAGGGGTATAGTATACGCAATAATTAGGTGGTGTTGTTATTTACGCTAGAACAAAAACCACAATTTTAATAATAACTTACGCTGTCACTCCTCTCATTTATTTGGCTAGATCCCTGTTTAAATATAGGGATATACATGCACTTCTTGGTGTGGAGAAGGCGTGAGCGATATAAAAGCCTTGTATCTATCACCCTTTTATCCCTTCCGCGCCGCCTGCCAAAGCATCTCATATAAGATGTTAATAGAGATAGACTTAGAGATGTCAGCATATCCAGTACTCATTGAAAATATTCGGGTGATACGGCGAAAATATTACGTTTATTCATTCATTTTTTCGTTTATAGTGGAGTATAGAAGTGATGGAGATAGATAGATGTATTATTATTATTTGATGGTGATGTGTTGTTGCTTGGTTGAAGGGAACGGTTCATTATGAATGGTATCGTTGTAATAATAGTAGTAGCTGGGTTTAGTTTGGTCAGGGGATGTATCGATCGATTGGTACAGGGTGGATAGGTGGGGAGGATTTGGATTGAGACGTAATCGTTTTGTTTGTTGTTTTTGAGGTGTGTTTAGCGGTGTTGTTGGGATATAGACAGCTTGTTTCATTGCATATCGATGAGATAGACATTGGATATTTGGGTTTAATTGCCGTTTTATTCAAGGGGAAGTGATCATTTACTCATTGTAATATCAGCTGAATACAATTGTGAGTGTTTATTTATCTACGGAATGAGCATCTGAATGAACCTGGGAATTTGCTGGTGTTGTTGTAGCTTTTGTTTTACTTTTTTTGGGTGAGTATGGTGCTTTGTTGTTTTTTAGGACTTTGACTTCTGTGTTGTTTTTTGATTTTAGTTTTGTTATGATTTATTTGATGTTTACTACTTTGGTCTTTATTCGAAGTGCTTTTCCTCGTTTTCGTTATGATCTTATGATAAGTTTTTTTTGATTTAAATTGTTACCTGTTTCTTTGATTTTTTTAGGTTACTTTATTATTGTT